TTGTTTCAATTGCAGGAATTTATTTTCATTCAATTGATAATATCTCGCATATTAATGTTCATGTGTGTACATTCAAAACAATATATTTTATTAGGTGTAAAATTTCTTGATAGTAATTGCAGTCAGTTAACTTACTTTTTGAACTCCAATATTTCATTCACTCTTTTTAATTTAATTTAAGTTTACTTTATTTGTCATGTAAATTGTAGGTAGTAATTTACCCCATGGCAAAAAATGGAAAACAATTCGCTGTAAATCTAAAATAGTAATATTCATATGTCAGATCAAAATTAATAGGTCATAATGAAAAATACTTTCAAATGATTTCAATAAATTTTATGTTTTTTTTTCTCTAACTACCATATTGTGATCATTATTTCATTTCTATGGAAGTAATTATTTGTTGCATTTTTGAAGCATTTTATTGGATGTAGTTTCTTCATTATAATACCAAGAAGTTGTCATTTTTTTTGAGAGATTGTATTCATGAAGGTATCCAATTATTCTCTGGTGTGTCATGTTATTGGTTCATTGTATTACATTTTCAGTTTTATTTACAATGTTCTCATTACTGTAAACTACCCCACCTCTTGGGATGCAACACATCTCAACGTTTCATATCTGTAGATGTGTATTCAACTAAGTTTAATATAATAATTTTTTCAACATCAAATAATATTTTTTGCTCATCGACATTACAATTTATTCATTCTCTCATTCAACAAATTTTGTCAATTCATGGGTTTGTGAAAAAGTGTTATATTGTGCTTAGAAATTATTCTTATTTAACACAGAACACAAAAATGTAAATCTAAAAAGGCTTTTCTATGAAAGGACTTGATGAAATCTATTATGAGTTAAGATTACTTTTCATACAGTAATCACTATAAAAATTTATACAGGAAGTGAGATAATGGTGCTCCTTGTGCCTTCCAGGATTCATATCTCATTTCCATTGTCAAACTGAAAAAATTTTGAAATAATTAGAATGTCGGAAGATAGAACATCAAGATTTTCATTTCTTTAATGACTGGTGCCTGTGAGAAAGGTCTTTCACATCTCTTCCTCCAATTACTCTCCTCCATTTTGTTCTGCTATACCTGTTGTCATAAACACATGATTTGCATTATAGTGTTCTTATAAAACATCTTCAAGAATTAATTAGTGCATTATGATGTGAAAACAATGTGATTTGAAAATGAAACGTTATGCAAAGAAGCTGATATGAATGAACATACAGAAACAAATAGTGCTGGAAGTTAGATAGTGATGCCACGTATGTTTCTACTTATTCTTCACATACTAGGACAAGCTGCATAATGCAACATGTCTTGTGATGTTACCTGGCAAATTATGCATAGAACTGAACTAATTCTCTGAAGATTGTATTAAAACCATGTGCAATGCTTTCCCAATACATGAAATGGTTCATTTTCTGTGGTGTTTTGTTGTTATTTTTTTACAATTTCTTACTATTGAAAGTATGGAGATAATTTCCTGTCAGAAGTGACTTCAGAAGAATGAAATCAATACGTTGCTGATTTTTCAATGTTGACACAGGTATTGGAACTTTTCTATGACACTTATAGTAGAGTATTGATAGCATGAGTATTGGTTTTGTAGTATGTATTCATAGTCTGTGCCTCATCACTTATTGTCCCTCTTAGAAAGTGATGATGTCAGTGGGAAAAATGTAGGTATTGAGAATTGGGAAGAGATACTACAACCTGGCCTAATTAAGGGACTTTTCCAGTAATTGCCCTGGAGCTGCTGGAAGAACCAAGAAAATATTTCGACATGCATATATTGTTCCAGAATATTTTTTATTTAAAAGATAATTGGTATGCTTGATCAATTATTTTTGGAAAAAAAAAAAGAGAAAAAAAACTTAATCGAAATTTAAATCTAATAGTTTTATGAAACTGTTGGTCTAGCATGCCCAATAACCTTTTATTTACAATAGTTATGATGAGTAATCCTTGTAATTTATTTGCATTTGCAATTCAGCATATTTAGAAGGATAATACAACTCTAAAAGAATTCAGAATATATATGTATTTTACACAACATTTGTCTTCATTGATAATTGTAGTTATAGTAGTAATGTGATGATACAGAAAAATGGCTTTCAAATATTTACCCTATTTGTGTATCACTCAATAGATAGTTTATAAGAGAAATCATTTTCTACATGTATATGGTGTTTCAAAACATAGAGAGATATTAACTCTTAGTGCTGTGTTCTGTGTTAAGATATAAACAAGAAATTCATTATGTATTTTTACCAACCATATTTTGTGAAACAAGAATGATATTTTAAGGTCCTAGGGGACTTGTTCATTGACACACAACGGTATGATGACTGACACATGTAATTCTTGCATTTCAAATATATCATAGTAAATGCACATGAGGTTACATACCCATGGAAGTTGGTTGCTGCTAAGAATCTTCAGCAGTTATTTAGTGCCACGAAAGGGTAGAAAACGTGCTTTAATCATTAGATAACTTTTGCGAGTGCAAGAATTGTTTGATACAATTCTTGATATTGGTAGGTTACAAGTAAGTATCTCGAATGCTAAGTGTGGAATGGTGTGAATGAATGTTTTTATAACATTTTGTCCCTAAGATTGATATTGAAACAGAGGGCTTGTATTTTATCTTAAAGATCAAAAATACTGTGAAAGGTGAAATAATTTTCAAATATATTGTGAGGAAAGGATGTTAGTGATCGCTGGCAAAAGGATTTGTTAAGTTTTTAATATAAATTATTTACTCTTTTTTAAAATAATTATTACAAACTTTTCATATCAATCCTCCTTTTGGATTTTAAAAGTTTGGGAACCAGATTAGGATGGTCTATAGTTTGGAAATTTAATATACGAGTAGTATACTGTTACAACATTCATTTTAAAATAATTTTGATTAAAAAGTCTCAATTGATAGTATTGTTCCCAAAGAACTAGTAAATATGGAAATCGCTAACCTTCGTTCTTAGGTCCTTATAAAAGGGCTATTCTCTGAGCATTAGTAAATTGTTTATATTATTACTTGTAAGTTTTGATAAATTATGGCCTTTCTTGAAAACTCAATGTTGATATCTTCTGTTGATGGTGCTTTGCCCAAAAGCATTTTGCTTTTGAGCCCCCCCCCAAAAAAGTGCTTTATGTGTCAGGATTACTTCTGTGTAGAAATTCATTATAGTTCAGTTGTAAATCTGAACAATATAATGATCATTTCTATTGTTGAATATCTGAGTGACTAATACGCTTATTCCAAACAATATTAGTGTTTGTTAATCGTAATGATTTTTGATGTTTAACATCATTATACATTATGTGAGCAATTAATGAGACATGTCTGTCTTCATATTATAAATAGAGAGATGAAGTAATACATTTTTCTATTTCTTTTGGTTACTGATAAGAGGGGATTAAGATATTAAGCATTAATTCTCTTCCTTTCATACTCTTTATCATTGAAATACATTCTTCTGTTGTGGATAAAGAGAACATACAAATTTGAGTACAAACATGTTAATTATCAATATTTTGTGTATAATTTTTTAGGCATTGTTAATTTGGTGTGTCTTTAAGGATAGAATTTGGAATTTCAGGATCTGAAGTAATGCAAGGAAAAGTAAGGGTATTGCAGTGTAAATGTAGAGTGTGAAATGATAATACCATTTACATGCAAATGTAGGCACTTACCATGGGCATTTCTTTCTATTTTCATGAACTAGCATCCAGATTTCATACTCTACATAGTTTTTTATAAAAATATGTATGTATATATTAATATATATTTCCAACAATTTTTTTCAAAAATGCTCTACTCGTAAGGGAACGCCTTGCCTTCTCTGCTTTTCTATTCATTGTTGTGAAATACTGTAATGCTGGCATATTATAGTGTTGCCATGAAGTAATGTTATTAAGCACATAAATAGATGTAATATTTTGTACTTCTCATAAAATTCTGCTTTGAGAATATGCTGTTTAAGCACAGTTTTGTGATGATTCCTCTGTAGGTAAGGAACAACAACATACATGTTCCATGACGTGTGATAATTTTTTATCTGTAAGATAGAGCTAGTGGATTACCGACATATAGGTTTACACTGATACATAAGATATATGTTTTGTTGGCACTTGATAAATGTATATTTAAAAAAATATTCTTTCATATTGGCCATGATTGTGAAGATATAGATATTTCATTCTTAAAAAAAAAAAACTGAATTTTTTCAATAAATGAATTAGTAGTATCATTGCTGTATGGATGAAAGATGTGTTATCAACAAAATAAGCAGGCATAATTATTAAAATGTATTGACTGTTGGTTAATTCTGAGTAGATTTCTTATGGTAAAATATTTCATCACCTACAGCACTCAGCCTGCCATTTTTAAGTGTAGAATATTTAGGTAAGGTACTATTTCCAGCTCAATATTTAGGAAAAGCAATTGAAGTTAGCAATTTGATAATGTAGTACCTTGTGTTTAAATTTCGTCAAACATCTTCCAATAATTAAATCTGCAATAATTAATTAATTGCTAAAAGTAAGATTTTGCATATACATGTTTCATCTTGTACTTGAGAGTTTTGTATTTTGTAATCTTTTAAAAGAGAAGATTGGAGAGAGGAGTAGATGTTGAAATGATGCCATGAACTCAACTTGCGAAGCAAAGTTACCATATTTCTTTGTGGGTAAACTTGTAATATCGTATGCTTTGAAAGCTGGTGGTATGGACCAAAGTGGGATATGCAGAAATCTGCAAATGAAGGAAATAAAGTATGATTAGATGGAAAATAAAAACTAATGAAATATTCCAATTTTATGTGGTAGTTCTGGTTACATAGTGAAATTGTCTCTTACTACATTTCTTCCATTTGTATTGCTAAAAGAAAGTAGAAAAATTAGGTAAAATTAATTCATCTTTCCATGACACTTGCAAGCAGATGAAGAGTATTAAATGTACATGTAATGGGTATTTATATCATAGAGAGGAATAAATTGTCATCCATATTAATTTATAATTTCCTTTACTGTATTTTTAATGTCAAAAAGGGTTAAAAGTATGAGATATGGGGGAGAATTGCAGTAAACTTTTTAATGTACAATATTCTTTGCATACCTTGCAAGAACCCAAACATGTAGAGAAAACAAAAATGCTCCTTTTTATGTAAATAGCTATAGTAATCTGTTTTCATTGTGTAAGTAATTAACATTTTCATCTAAATAAACTAAAATGTTTCAGTGTAATAGGCTACACGTTAAGATAATTCAGTGCTTGTTTTGAAAATTATCACTTACTTAGAAATACTTGGAAATTTAATTTGTGACGTGTTTTTCAGATTATTGTTGTTGTTATTATTATTATTATTATTATTATTATTATTATTATTATTATTATTATTATTATTATTTTCATTATTATCTTCATTAGAAAAGTCTTAGAAGTACAGGCATTCTACTAATTCATTTCTGAAAATGTAAGACATAGACCTTGTTTGCTTTATATTATTGTGCAATAATAGCCAGAAAGTTTCAATGTGTATGGTATCATTGAGGTGCTGTCAAGTGTTGAATTAAATTATTGATGGATTTACATTTGAAAGGCTATTCATTTTACTGTGATTATAATTATTCTCCTCCAATCTTCTCTATTTTGTGAGATAAAATACAGTTGTTTGAAAGTGGTGACAAACCATAGTTTTTTAGTTGCCTATCATAAATAAAAGAAGGCATAAGGACAAAAGCTCAAATTCAAGGAGAATGTGTTAACATTATTTCCATACTCTTTAAAATTTTTAAAATCTTGCTCATATTTGGTAGTGTATTTTTGTCAATACAAATGTTACAAAATCTCTGTATCAGTGATTTTTAAATGATTTGATACTTCAGACATTTTGAAAACTTTTTATGAATACTTTTTCCTCCTCTTGAAAATGTGCTCATTACATGTTTTGTGTAATTGGTGTATAATACATTTCAAAAAATATAGTGTTGCATAGTTGTCAATAACTTGAGGATACAAAGCTTGTGAAGTAATTAACATAAATGTTGTGTGTTATCTGTCAAAATAGTCTGTAGGAAATATTTGTATATGAAAGCACTTCAATAGAACTATGATAAACACTACCCGACATAGGTTATATGCCCCTCATCTTAATTACATATGCTTAATTTGTACACGACACCATGAGGAAATGCTTTCTTAAGATTATGAGTTTAAAGTTTAAGCTAAAGCTCAAACTGCCTCTTTTAAGGCAGAATTTTTATGCAAAAGACTGAACAAGTACAGTAAAATCCACCTTTAACGGAATTATGTTAATGAATTCAGTCAACAGGTATTAAAATTGTGGTCACAGTTATGCTTGGACCTCACCAATAAACAAATAACACCCAATATGATTGGTAAATCTAACAGTAGAGTTTGCTTAAGAACGCAAATTCAGCAGTCTATAAAATTTATGTAATTTACTCTCAAGAAATGATTTCTTCTTGAAAAGAAAACAATGGAAGCACCGGAGGCAGTTCCTCAGTGATCTTGTCATGTTAACACTCTTGTCTATTTTTAATTCACTAATTAACATTAATGAAGTTTGCTGAATTTTATTGTTGCAATGTGGTTAAGTGTATGCAAGTTCCGTTTGAGTTAGGTTCTACTGTACAATCTTCTCTTAAATGCGCACAATGCATGCATTTCTCAAATGAGAATACTGGCCAGAAAAAGTGTCTTTCTAGGCTAACTGAGAAACAGTGTAACAAACATTGTCAGCATTGCTAGGTGTAAGAATGTTCCATGTTCTTATTTACTACACTTTTGAATGTAATACTTAAAAATCTGAATATATTTTCATATATAAGTAGTTGAGAGTGGAAGGTTTGTATAAGATTTTTAGACTTTTAATGGTAATTTTTGTAATTAAAAGCTAAGTTTAAGTACATTTTTGTATGCATATTTATGATGTCTAAATTTAAAAAAATTAATATAAATATTTGTGAAAAATGAAACTCCAGTTTGTGTATTTTGATTAAATGTCTTTTCAGGCTTGTTGTCAAATTATAGTTTAATTATAGTATTTTTGTCATACATGTTAAAATGAAAGACAGATTAAGACTCAACATGATTATTGTGACAAAGACTGATTGGTTATTTGTGAACATATCTGCTGCAATCTACTGCTACCACCACTGAATTTTTCACAATCCAGTCCACCAACATAAGAAAAACATTAAAATTTTTTGATGAGAAAATAGAGTAAAATAGCATCAATAGTTGTGATATGTCAAAAACTTGTAATTAAAACCAAATAAAGTTTCTTGATGTGTGGTGAGTTAGGAAAGGAGGGTCTGTTATCTAATTGGGAGCTTCAAATCGTGAAATTTAAGTTCTCAATTGGATGACAATGGCTCCTTCACTAATTCACTAGGTGTCAAGAAATTTTAATTGGACAATAAAGCAGAGTTTAGCTTCAAGCTATTACAGAAAACATTCTGCCTTCCCACATCACCATGATTGTCACACAATACTATTCAAGCTTAACATTCTAGAATGAGCTGAAGTAAAGGTTGTTTCTTTTGGGTCAATGATGCCACAAAATACATTTAAAAGTGATTTTACACCTTTCTCAATTAATTTTTTCTTCTAACTCAAGAAAATAGATGCATTTGAAAGTGATGCAAAGAAATGCAAGAAAAGTAGTGGGAAAAAAATGTCATACTTCACACCTTTTCAGGGGGACCCAGAGAAAACAA